GGGTAGTGTCTGGTCTGGGATGGTAGACAGCTACCCGACCCCGTTTTTACGAGGTGTACGGGGAATTTTTGCCCGAGCCTACGGGCTCGATTTTACCCAGCCTTGTGCCACATCCTGCCTCGCGTAGTGGTGAGGTAAAAAAAGATATTGGGAACGGTGCTATATCCCGTTCGACTATCGAACTCTCTGCCTCGGGAGAGGGGAACCTCGACGAGGCTATGCCGAAGGGTAGTGTCTTGTCTGGGATGGTAGACAGGCCCTGAACCTGTCTATGCGGGTTCGGTTGGAATGCTTTTGGCCGAGACTACGGAGAACACACGGTAAACTCTGACCTTGTGCCCCATACGACCCATTGGGAGGGGGTCGTTAAATATAACAGCCTAGCAAAAAACGAGAAACTACAGCTTAAAATTGGAGGGAAATAAAACGAGAAAAGGGGGGATAAATGTGGAAAACAGAATAAATAGTCCCAGTGAATGTAAAAAGGACACAAAAATACTCAGAAGCCTTCTAGTAAAAAAAGAGAACGGGCAAATCTCATTTTCTGTTGACACAAAGCCAGACGGTGTAATTTAATATAAACTGCCTCTAAAATACGCAGATGTTTTGCCGACCGTGCTTTGCCCAAAATGGTAAGCGTCGAATCCAAATATTTGTCAGCGCAATAGGCATTGTCTGAAAGGTGCTCGCTTATTGCAGAATACTGGAACCGTCTGCGTAAAACGTATGTTACGGGTAACAATACCCAATCTAAAATTGCCAGGCACATGTTGTGCAATCCGTGTTTCAAGGCGCTGATTGGACAGCCCGATGTAGTCATCGTCACACTGACATCTAGATCTACATATAACCATACTATTTTGTACGTAGGCAGGCCATCTTTTGTAAACGAACAAAACGCGGGGACAGCGTCAGAAATACCACGAGTTCTGACGACTAAACACAAGCTAACATCCTATTAGCTATACATAAATACATACATACATATATATATATATATATATATATATATATATATATATACCAAGTTTTTCATTATTAACCGATTAAATAGGTCAAGGTCTAGTCCATCCTCCCCCAATACTAAGTATGTGTGAATTAAATATTTAAAAAAAACCCTCTCTAAACCCGGCCGTGTCTCTCAAACCACTCCTCATTAGCCCCTCTGTTAAATTACAAAAACATACACTACCCATCAAAAGTATGAATTTTCATTTCATTTCGTTTCATCTTTTGGAAGTGCTATCTGATGATCCAGAGTCCTTTAAAACGGCTCTGGTGAAATAAATTATTATAATCGAACCTTAAAGTGGTCTGTTTTTATTTAAAATATTAGCTCTGGATTTACATTGAGCTCTCAGGATTTCATCCTCCTTGGGACTACCCATACGGATTACCAAGATTTTCATTACTTATAACATATAACTTATAACATTTTTCATAACTTCATAACACACACACACACACACACACACACACACACACATATATATATATATATATGATACAGTTTTAAGTTTTATGTTTATGGGTGAAAGTTTTCATATCAGGAAAAAAGCGTATGTAAATATAAAATAAATTACATATAAAAATGGACATTAAAGTCAACAGCGGTGAGTCTGTTTCATCCTAAACGCAATCGTCAGGCCATGTGCGTTGAATTTTTGCTCGTCAATTAAATTCGCTGACGTTACTCTACTTGTAAGATGTACTATTGCTCTAAACTAGTCAAAGTTAAACGCACGGAAATATTATCACCTCCTCTATCTTCCTTTTCTCCCCGTTTCTTTCATACTCTTGTTATTTTTTCTTTCTTTCTCATATGTGGTCTTATTGAGTGTTGTCTTTTGCTTTTTTATATTAGGACCCATTTAAATACATACACAAACATACCAGACTCCATCCGAAACATAATAGTAGAAAATACAACATAATAATTTGATTCACATGTTAAAAAAAAAAAGTTTAAGAATAATGGAAGCATTAATAATAAAAAGAAAAAACCCAATTCTCAAGGAGATTAACTACGAACAAGGCCACTATGAGCTGACTGTGTTCGGAAAATAAAACTTCACTATAATTCTAGAAATATACACAAAAAACAATACATTCAATTAAAAAGAAAAAAAAAATCATACTTTATAATGGCTAAAAGTATAGCCGAAAGCGCTCGGAATTATAGAACATTTGCACAGTTTCTACAGACTCTGGGTCCAGAAAAGAAAACATTTGTTTGAACACAAGAAAAATTAAATAAAAAGTTTAATCACAGTACATTGTCTGTTGTCCTTAATGGAATATATATATACATATATATATATATATATATATATATATATTAGCTAGCCACTCGTATTTGAGGATGTTATGGGATCTTACCTATAATAATAATAATGGACTATTCCATACTTAAGTAATACTGCGCCTCAGCAGTAGGCAAGGAGTCACTCGCTCAACTCTTGAGCGAGTGTTCGGTTCACCTCTCTGTCTACGGACGGAGAGGAACCCGAAGGAGGCTACGCCGAAGGGCGGAGTCTCCTTCGGGGAGGTTAAACCGGCCCTGAACCCGTTTATACGGGTTCGAATGGGCTATTTTTTGGCCGGGCCTAATGGCTCGGAAATGCCCACGTTAAAAAGGCCTTGTGCCACATGACACCCTCGTGGGGGGTGACTAAATATTGTCACTCGCTCAACTCTTGAGCGAGAGTTCGGTTCACCTCTCTGTCTACGGACGGAGAGAAACCCGAAGGAGGCTACGCCGAATGGCGGAGTCTCCTTCGGGGAGGTAAAACCGGCCCTGAACCCGTTTATACGGTTTCAAATGGGCTATTTTTGGCCGAGCCTAATGGCTCGGGAATGCCCACGTTAAAAAGGCCTTGTGCCACATGACACCCTCGTGGGCGGGTGACTGAATATTGTCACTCGCTCAACTCTTGAGCGAGTGTTCGGTTCACCTCTCTGTCTCCGAACGGAGAGGAACCCGAAGGAGGCTACGCCGAAGGGCGCAGTCTCCTTCGGGGAGGTAAAACCGGCCCTGAACACGTTTATACGGGTTCAAATGGGCTATTTTTTGGCCGAGCCTAATGGCTCGGGAATGCCCACGTTAAAAAGGCCTTGTGCCATATGACACCCTCGTGGGGTGTGACTGAATATTGTCACTCGCTCAACTCTAGGAACCCGAAGGAGGCTACGCCGAAGGGCAGGTCTCCTTCGGGGAGGTAAAACCGGCCCTGAACCCGTTTATGCGGGTTCAAACGGGCAGATTTTTGGACCGAGCCCACGGCTTCGGGAAACCCACAATAAATAACCGACTTTGTGTCACATGTTGCCCCAGTGGGGGTGGGAGGAGTCTAAATACTGTCAGTCGTTCAACTCTGAACCGACTGTTCGGTTGTACTCTCTTCCTACGGACGGGAGGAACCCGAAGGAGTCTACGCCGAAGGGCGGAGTCTCTTTCGGGGAGGTAAAACCGGCCCTGATCCCGTTTATACGGGTTCAGTGGGCATATTTTTGGCCGAGCCCACGGGCTCGGAATGCCCACGTTAAAAAAGCCTTGTGCCACATGACACCCTCGTGGCGGGGGTGACTGAATATCGTCAGTAGTTCAAAGTCAGTCAGTAGTTCAAGTCGAGTCAAGAGTCGAATCAGAGGCAGTCCGAACAGAGTTGCTTTCAGACAACTACTGCAAGACATTGGAATTGTGATACTGGTCGAGACTACATTGTACTCTCTACTAAACCTGATTGTTCATACTAACACTTCTATTGTATATATTCCTGTTTGTAATATACCTGTGTTATTCCATACCTGTGTTCGCGTTCTTCTTTATTGGTTCTACCTTGGACTATCACCGTGTTACATGGAACTGGACCATAACACGGGATACTCGTCTACTAGGGTGACTACTCAATCCCTCGCGCAGGCACATTTGTGTTTGTTCAACACCCACAGAACCCATCTGTGGTTTATAATGCAACTTTGCGTAGCAGACCTTAGTTATAGTTTCTGGGAGAGAGCGTGTTATCTAGCGTGATAAACAACCTGAACAACACAAGCACAATCAAGCGCTTGGTCACGATGAATTGTTACTTCGTACTAACACAGCTATCGACAGCCCCAAGTATTCTGTCTACCCAATTTCACTCACAATGCTTGGGTCGACCTGTGGAATGGTTTTCAGGCACTTTCCAAAGATGCTACACGCTGGGATCGTCCCCCTCCGGACCGATAACATCAGGGTGTCGCCTTCCTCACAAATCGACCATGGTGAGATTCTAACACTTGAACGTTCTAACCACTCACTCACTTGATTGTTCTAACCACCCCTATATATATATATATATATATATATATATATATATATAGAGAGAGAGAGAGAGAGAGAGAGAGAGAGAGAGAGAGAGACAGCGAGAAACATGTATGTACATTCAAGGATCAATCAGTAAGTTCGTAGCCAAGCATGTTGTACGATCGATGTAATTAATATTCCCCAGAGAATTTAATACATTGACAAGGAGGAGATTATGTTGAAAAGTAAACATTTGTTGTGCAATATAACTTTTTTTTTGCATCATTAGGCTGTGGGCTTATTGATCCGCCAACGAAAATGTGTAAATAGATATACGAAACATGTGCACACTCCACACCTCCACCCATATCCATGAGCAACAACAACAATAACAAGCAAGCATTTTTTTTTTGCAAATAACAAAACCAGACAATTATGAACGAGAAAATAGCGACGGTTGCAATCAGATGGAAGCTACGACGAAAATGGCTGCCTACATCTTCTTAATAATGAATCTTAAAAACTGATAAAAGAAAAAGATAATGAAAACTAAAAAAATAAAATAAAATAAAAGACTTAAAGCAATTGTACCAGAGGGTTGATCATGTTCTACGCGAGGGGGAAATTATCCGGTTATTTTATATTATTTTTTGTTGTGACAATTAGCTTTATGCTTTGATATGGATGCTGGTAATAGCGATTGGTGGTTTACACGATGGAAGAGGGCGAAGGAAAATCTGCAGTGTGAGTGAAACGGTGTAAGTAGGGGGTGGAATATGGAAGGGAATTAAGAAAGAATATGGCAAAAAAGAATTAAAACCAAAAAGGTGGTGACAATGGGAAGAGCTAATGAGAAAACTCATGTTGATGGAAAACGAGGAGAATTTTAAAAGATTCTAACACTAATAGAAATCTGAAAGTGGGGAAACTATTTAGTGAAATAAGACTAGTAGCAGTAGAAGTAAAAAAGAAAAGAAAAAGTAGATACTGACGAAGACAAAGAAGAAAACAAGGAAGAAGAAGAAGAGGAAGAAGAAGAAAACAGAGTGAGGAGACAAAGAAGAAAAAGACACAAAAGATAACAGAGAAGACACAGAGAAAGAAAAGCAGACAAATACAAAGAAGAAGACAAAGAAGAAGAAAACAAACAAATAAGGAGAATACACAGAAGACGACGACGACGAAGAAGAAGAAGAAGATTTTTCTTTTGTCTTCATGTTTTTTTTCATCTTTTGTGTCTTAAGTCGAAGAAAAAGACACAGAAATAGAAAAAAAGAAAAAAAGAGATGAAATAGCACAAAAGAAAGAAAAAAAAAGAAATAAGAGAAAGGAAGAAGTAAGAGTGTATAAATAAATAGGAGAACGAGGAGAAGAAGAAGAAGAAGAAGGAAGAAGAAGAAGAAGAAAGCAAAAATCAGTTCGAAGCAACGAAGATGGACATGAAAAAGAAGAGTAGATATAATAACACGATTCGAAGAACAAGAAAAAGAAGGAAATCAGGTGTTTGATGGTTTTATTTAAAGCCAGAAAATATTTTTAGATTCTAAAAAAACTTTTTGAGATAGTAATGATTTTTACTGATACAAATCTTACTAATTTACCCATAGATTGGGAAGTAGGGGTTGATAGCTTTCTCAATGGTATTTGTGCGTAAGTGGATATAACCAACAGGAATGGAATTGGAACGTGGCTCTTCGATTTCCAATTCGCATCCGATAACTATTACACCATTCCCACAACCGAGCTTACCTCACCTGTTGTTCACAAGCAGTCATCACTCTAGATAATCACCAGGGTCAACGGTGCTTAATTTAAGTGATGTTACGAGAACTGGTGTTTGAAAACGATATGGCCATAAGCCAGAATAATAAAGAGATGTTTAGAAGAATACCAATGAAGAAGAGAAAGAAACAGGAGGAGGAGAAAAATACCATGAAGAAAAAGAAGAAGAATACTATGAAGAAGAAGAGAAAGAAGCAGAAGAAGGAGGAGGAGAAGAATACAATGAAGAAGAAGAAGAAGAAGAAGAAGAAGAAGAAGAATATCATGAAGAAGAAGAGAAAGAAACAGAAGGCGGAGGAAAAGATTATCAAGAATAAGAAAAGAGAAAAAAAAGAAAAAGGAAGAAAGAGAAGAGGAATTAGAAGAAGAATCCCATGAAGAAGTAGATAAAGAAACATAATAAGAATACAATAAGAAAAAGAAGAAACAGAAGAAGGAAAAGAAGAAGAAAAAGAAGAATTTACAATTAATAAAAGAAAAAAAAAAGAAAAAGAATATCACGAAGAGGAAGAGAAAGAAACAGAAGAAAACGAAGACTAAGAAGAAGAAGAAGAAGAAGAAGAAGAAGAATACCATGAGGAAAAAGAAAAGAACTCAAAAGTAGAGAGAAAAAAAAGTGGAGGAATTTCATGAAGCAGAAGAGAAAGAAACAGAAGAAAAAGAATACTATGAAGAAGAATAAAGAGAAAAGAAGAAAAAGTTGAGGAAGAAGAAAAAGTAGTAGTAATAGTAGAAGACGAAGAAGAAGAAGAAGAAGAAGAAGAAGAAGAAGAAGAAGAAGAAAAAGTAGTAGTTGTAGTAGAAGAGGAAAAAGACGAAAAAGAAGAACAACAACAATGATTAATACAAGAAAAATTGATATTATTTGCGATAATGCAGGCAACATTCACAGCAAAAGCGAAAATGTATAAATAAATAGAAACGACGTAATATTAACATTGAAGAAAGATTCACAAAGGTTTTGGAATCATAAAATCATCATATTAATAGCAAATGTAACCGAGGGAAAAGTAGAGTAATTATTGTACTTTAGATATTCCATAGTTGTCGAAGTGGCATAACAATTTCAAAAAGGAATTCTCAGTGAGATTATTTTTATAAAAAAAAAAAAAAATACAGTAAGAAAAAAATAAAATGGAAGCATAGTAAAAACACAACCGTTTTTTTTTATTTGCTTTTATTCTTTTCTCATGATTTTTTTCCAGTTGAGTCGATCGATAAGACTTTTATAACGCCTTTTTGTTTTTTGTTTTTATTTCTACCTTTTTTTCTTTATCGGATAGATTTTTTTTATATCAGTTTTATTTGGATTGTTGTAATAATTTAATTTAAAATCTCACCTTAGATTTTTTTTTCCAAATTTTTTGTTTTCTCCTTTTCACATATTTCTCGTTATTTTATTGATCAATAGGAGACTGAATGATTCACTTGAGTAAAGAGCACTACAGAAAGTTCCGAAATTTCGAAACGCTCTTATCATCTGGCATATGGCCAGAGGTCTACTTAGGCGTACACACACATATGTAGACATGGAACAATGGCTAGCTAGCTCGCATCCCAGACCATTGTCTTCTTAGTTAAATTTTTACTGTCGTATCCCTTGGATAGTATATATAAGCAGCGTGGAGGTTTTAAGAAAAATGGAGGAAAAAAAAAGCAGATACTTAAAATCCGAAACAGACATTTGAAATTTCAGAGATACATAAAGACAGATTGGGAAATTTAATACTCACAGGGTATAGTGTTCGCTGGCTCGTTCACGTCCAGCGATGACTTGATGACCACCCTACTAGAGTCATCTACCAGTTTGGAACTTGTGGTAGACTATGCAACCGCCAGGACCTCCAGCAGATTAATCCGGCGACGAGAGATGTCCCGACGCTCTGCCAAGACAGTGAGAGTTGGAGGGACACAGTGGCTCTCGTGGGCTTAACGGCTTCCTGACATGAGATTTAGTAACGACAGCAGGACATATTGAAGAAAAGACGTTAGAAAGAAACAGTGACTAACCTACCTAACGAGCTTGTGTAAATGTATAATCAAAAAGAGGCTGAGAGAGAAACTAAGAAAAAGACGAACTATTGGGAATGGTGCATAATTATCAGGCGTTTTTCGAGGCGACATATTTGCTAATAAAAACTGATGTATTTTTTAATAAAAAATATTTTATTTCCAGGTTATAAAAATTCGTGTTGATAATCATACACTCCGTATAAAAAAAATTATAAAATTTAAAAATGTTATTATTGTATTTTTCCGTTTCTTTTTTCATAATAAATATTGTTTAAAAAACGCCTGATAATTATGCACCAACCAATACATAAAGTTGCGGATAACCAAGATCTTCCAATTACTAAAGGCACACCGTGCATAAAAGAAACCCTCCATGAGGTTAGTGATAATGGCCCTCCACCAATCCCTTTTCTTTATTATCTCTGAATTTACCATGAACGATATTGGAGTGGTTTCCTGTTGCCTTCTCCACTCATTTGAATTGAGATTTCTCCTTCTCCTTGTCTGGTTACTATACAAATAGAATCCAGCCTGGCTTGATACTTAACACAGAAGGAGGGGTATTATATCTTTGCCAATGGTATTAACGCAAAAGTGAATGCAATTTAAACCGGCTCTTGTCGATAATTATAAGGCCACTAGCATATCCATAGACCGTTAACACTGAGCTGTATAAGGGTTTTACTAGAGGTCTCACTCTTTATAGCATTGTGCCAACCTCACCCCACGCTCAAGTAATGGCCATATATTTATATTTACATATGCACCCAATTTTGACGTCATAACCAAGAAGCTACGAAAGAAGAAAAATACTTTAATCAGTCGATAAATGGAGATAATGTCACGTTCCTGCGTAGCCGATTCGGCGTCGTTGATTCGACGTGGCCGATTCGGCGTGGCCGAGTCGACATAGGAATTTTTCGACAGAGGGACAATTAGGCATCAAATTCCTACTTCGTCGTTATAGTCAAATTTCTCTCTTTCTCTCTCTTACTCTCTTTCTCTCTCTCTCTCTCTCTCGTTTAGTAATCAAATTAGTACTTTGTCGTTATATGCTTGAATAGTCCAATTTAAGAAAACGAGTAGTTGGAGGTATTTTTATATTTAAGAAAATAAATACTTGGAGGCATTTTCAAATTTAAGAAAAATAGTAGTTGGAGGTATTTTTATATTTAAGAAAATAAATAGTTGGAGGCATTTTCAAATTTAAGAAAAATAGTAGTTGGATGTATTTTTATATCATATTTCCTTCAATGCAGTCAAAAAAGTCGTAATTGAAGAGGAATCATTAGGTCATATTAAGTTCCTGAAGAGTGTTGCCCATAATTACGGAATGAAGTAGTAATTTCTAACATTAAATAGTTTTTTTTTTCTAAATTTTTAAATATTTTTTTGAAATACAATATTTTTAATTTAATTTATTTATTTGCATTATTCCATAAGTGCTTTAATAGGACCCTTAATGTTCTAAATGAATAAAAAGCCATTTTGAAAGTTGGGTGTTTTCAATGCTTTTATCCTTGGAGAAAGCGTGGATTGCCTCTGGTCAAAGACAATGACGTCGAAACAGTCTGACGCCTAAACGGCTGTGCCGAATAGTCCAATTATTTTTCTGACGCTGAATCAGCCACGCCAAACGGGCTACGCCGAAACGTCCCAAACGGGCTACGCCGAAACGTCCCAAACGGGCTACGCCGAAACGTACCAAACTCTTAAATGGGGTATGAAAAGACTTTTAAATTTGAATGTCTCCAAAACGGAAATGCTATATTTTAATCCCCATAGAAAATCTTTATTTTACCTGCCATCAGCATGGCTGATGCTAACCTTCAAGAAAGTAGCTCATCTCGCCTTCTGAGTCTTACGTTTTCTACTGGCATTAAGCGAAGTGTTTATATGTGAATCAATTGCTAGGTCTGCTGCTGGAGAAACTAACTCACTTTTTTTGTAATTTTTCTCGTCAGAATCAATCTTTTATTTCACGAGCCACTGACGTTAGAGGGTCAAGGGAAGTGCTAAGAGGCACAGTTCATGGGAATATATAAGGGGAAAATAACGGTTAACATTA